CAGCTAGAAAAATAAAAAAGATTATAAATGAACATATTACAGCACAAAATATGAGTTTCTTCCTTCCGAGGCTTTTCTTCAAGCAATAAATAATTTTGTGAAAGCCTTACCTAATCTAAACTATAGCATTTACAAACAATGAGAAATAATGGAATTACTTAATAGGTATTTAGTCACACCAAAAAAAAAAAAAACTTCCATAATGCACGCATGACAGCATTTTCTCTACCTTCCTGACATTAGGTTGACTAGAGCGTGATTTTCATAGAAGGAGCCGACATCCCAATCCTCTGTTGTAGAAGAAAGAGTCATTAGGGCAACCACAATGGATCTCATACTTGGACGCAGTTGTGGATACTCTTGGGTGCACACTTTAGCAAGCTGAGCCATCTGCAATAAAATCAGACACCATGGCTTCACAAAACAGAAATCTTAACACCAAATCTTAAAATATTGTTCCCAAAAGATTTTCTCACCTTCAGGACCGAGTCAAATGGATAGTTATCACCAAGCCTAGGGTCAACAAGTTTACAAAGATCCTCTTTAGGATCAGGTAAATTAAGCACTTCCTCAAACTGTGAAGAAAACCCAAAAGAAAAAATTATAATAAGATAAAATATAATCATGGCGCTCTTTCAAATTCTATTATGAGGGGTGTTAGATAGGCAAACCAACTATAAGCTTGATATGCTACAAAAACCAATTGGCTCATGACTTGAGAGGCAAAGAAATAAAAAATTATAGTTGTCCAGTTTGACACTGACTTGTTTTCAAGTTTCAATATAAGATCAGTGAGCTTTGAGCTCCTTTATTACCACTCTTAGTTACTTCATCAAATAGAGGGTTGACAAACTTACCAAAGCAACAAGGCCCTTTGATTCAGCAGCAGAATCATTTGCTCCTCTGACTATGGCTTCTTTGGCAGAAATTAGTTCATAGAGGACAACCCCAAAGGCATATACGTCTATTTTGGGAGAAACATCACCATATTGAGCATATCTGCAAAAAGCATTACCAAAGTTTAATCACTTCTTTTAACAAGTAAATACATCTTTTGGAGACAGTAAATGCCAAGCTCATCTTTGGAAATGGACCAATTCCTTTTTTTCTTGCAATAACTAATACACAAGAAATTATCAAATTTCAGAACCTAAAACCTAAAACATGAATATAATAAAAATTAAATGTCAACACAGAAAACTCTAAATCATGAAAGATAAATAGCATTAACAGTCTGTACATCCTTCCACATTGGCAGGAACACATCACTCAATGGTCGCCTTCACAGCCTTTTCAACTTCGATCCAGCTGAGATAAACTTGAACATATTTTCTAGGCCCAGCTAAAGCTCTAGCTTTTACGAGCCAAAGAACAAATTGAGCCAACCTTAAATGTAGCAAAACCTGTCTCAGTTAGGCTTGATTGCATCCCTTCCCGGAACTATAGCTCAGATTAACATCACCTAATTACTAAACATTCATGTAAAGTGCCCTGCTTCCTTGGATCATAAATTTGATCCAGGTCACTGTCGCAAGAAACATCCAGATCAACCAATGCCAAAGCTAAAATTCATTCTTTTCTACCAACTACTACTCGATTCAACCTTGAAAAATTAACAAAAATATAGAAGTATCTTACTCTGGAGGCATGTATCCAAATGTGCCCACAAGACGTGTGGGAAGTGATGCACTTCCAACTTCAGTCAGTTTTGTTAATCCAAAATCTGCAACCTGCAACACTAATTATTCAGTACAACAATGCGACGGGCTGTCAGATGTCACCTTGGCAACAGAGACATGATAGTAACCTAACCTTTGCATGGAAGTTCTTGTCTATCAGTATATTTGCTGATTTTATGTCTCGATGGATATAAACAGGAACTGTGTGTTCGTGAATATATTCAAGACCTCTCGCGGAATCAAGCGCAATTTGCACCCTAGAAGACCATGGCAGAGGATCCCTCTCTGAAGACATAGAAACAAAACCATTAAAAAGTTGATTTTTCTTTTTCCTGATAGGCAATCATTGGCATTGCTCTCCATACACTGCCACAAAAAACGTTGTTCATCAGGCACATGTAAACTTGCCTGATCCACGTAAATGTTGGCTTAAGTTCCCATTCTCGATGAATTCATAAACCAGGAAAAGAGAACCCTCGACACAATATCCAATCAAGCGCACCTGCAGTAGATGTCACGTAAGTTATATTGAGTGCCTTGATTATCAAAAGTGGACAATGTTAAAGAAAGTCACCAAAAAAATAAAGCAAACAAAATCATATAAAAGGAAAAAAAGAACTGCATTAAACTACAAAAAGAGAAAGATCGATGATAAAAAAATTCTCTCCAATTAAGAAAGCACATTACCAGATTCAAGTGATGAACGTGTGTCAAAACTTTCAATTCAGCAAGAAATTCTCTTGATGCTTGCATATCCATCTTTTTTATTGCAGCTTTCTGCATCAAGAGTTATAAAGGGATAAGTTTTGCAGAATAGTATATGCAAATTTAGAACATGAAATCAACGTGACATGACCAACGAACACCAATTCTTTTGTATCCATCCCTAAAGAGCATTTACAAATGCAACACTGAAATGTCAGAAAAGGTAAAACGGCCTATGTTATACACTGAGTACTAGCATAGCATATGCTATGGATGTCAATGACATGACCGCCATTCCACTTAAACCTAAGCAAATATCACTGACAGGGCATTGGTTATTCATAACATTACTTAGTAGATTAAAATCCCATTCACTTCTTCCCATCCATTTTGTTGCTCAGTTATAATTGACTAAACCGCAAGAAACTGTTATGAGTCAGCCAACATAATCCTATTTCTAACCTTTCCAAAATGAATGAACTCATGGAAACTGTTCCTCTCATAAGTGACAAAATTGCCCTAGAAAAAAATATCTTGATTAAAAAATTCAGCACATGTAACACTATGCATATTGAAGAGGGTAAGCTTTTGTAATTTTTTTCTAGATACTTTAACTGTCAATTGATAGATATTCAAGCATTCACCTGCAAATATAAAAGGGTGTCCTAATTGTTTCATTCCAATTTGATCCCCAGACAATTTTCTCAATGCATGGCAGGATTATTCAGATCGAAAAATTGTTGTTTTTCATCGACAAGCAAGAACCCAGTCCTTTCTGAAAAATTCCAGCAAGATGCTGAGTTCTGGAGTTAATCAAATAATTATTGTACAATGTTTTATAGGTTGGAAATGCAAATACTTCTTCAAAAATACATTTAAAAGCAAAAGAAAAAGTGTGGGGCTACAGACCTCTCCTCTTAGCTCTGCATAGTAAACAGATCCAAAACCACCTTCTCCAATTTTATTAGCCATACTGAAAGTATCAGTCGCCTTGGCAAGTTCTTCATATGAGAACTCCACAGACTTGTCCACAGTTATCCCTGTAAGCCCTGTGGAAGCACCAGCAGCTGGACCAGGAGATTCCAATGGTTTATCTGAAGAAATTCCAGGAGTCAACCCCAAATGGAGAGAGAAATTAGCAATAAGATCATGTTTAATCATAGTTTGATTCATTATTTTGCTAAACATGAGACCAAAATAATCAGTAAACATACTAGATCCAGCTTGAGCAGACAGATCCTGGGATTGTGTCAAGAGCAGTGTTCCCCCCTTCACCTTATTCTTTCGGTAAAATACAAAATATACACAAACTGCCACTAATGCCACCAAAGCTACTGCTGCCACAGATATGCCAGCAATAACTCCACCAGATACGCCTGCTTATATAAAAAGTAAAAACATCAGCTCAAAGTAGCATCAATTTTCAAGTTAAGCATCTCACTTCAGCATCCTGATTTAAGATACTTGTTATATGACTAATAGCAATGAAGACCAATGTTAAACCACCTGTGCTGCAGAAGAGAAAGAAAAAAAACAACATAATTAGAAATTTTAGAGAAAAAAAAAAAATCTCAGATTAAACAATTGATAAACATGAAATTTTATTCAATTGCGGAAGCTACCTTGATGACTCAAGGGCTGGGTAGACACCATTTTCATCTGCACAAAAAGAAATTAGAATTCAGCTAAGTTCTTGTTGCCTGTAACTGAAATGATTACTTCATAATTTGCCAATAACAACATGGATGAACTTGTAAACAACTTTGGAGATTCAAATAATCCAATGTGCTCTATACCATTTCAATAAACATATGTTGAAAATTGGACTCCCTATCCACCCAAATGCAGTGAAGAAAAATGATCATCAACAATAATCATGTCTTACAAAGCATAAGCCACTACAAATCAGCAATCAAATTAACCAAGTCAGAAAAACATATTCTCCTACTTAAATCCATAGGCATCCTACATATTCCAATATTTTAGCCAAATCAACAAATTCTACTGAAAAAACCTAATGAAAATTCATTCACCTCCCCAAATATTACGCTACAATACAAACAGACCACATAATTTCAAAAAACCTTCCGCAACCAACCTTAAATACTAAAATTCATGATAAACTTCCTCTAATTTTTTTCTGAATAATATCGAAAATCTCCCCTACAAGACAATCTGTGCCTAATTTCTGTAATCATACCAAATATCAAACAAGCTCATCCAATTCTACCCTTCTCATGAAACAATCATTATGCTCTTAAACAATTTTTCATAGGTCCAACAACTAACAAAACAATTACCTACGCCAGGAATAAAAACCAAGCCACTCCCTTGACTGAAATTCACATTACGATTATAACTTTGCAGCAAACTCTGATCCAAATTCACACTTCTCGCAACCGACTCCAAACTATCCCCCGGCCTCAACGGATACGTAACAAACAATCCATAATTCTTCGAAACCTCACTATCTCCACACGAACAATTCACCGTCACATTAAGCTTCCCAGTGTCCGGAATCCTATTCGCGTCATAGCTATTAAAATTCCGCAACCACTCCGCGGTCGTCAAGTTGGCGTAATAAATCTTGGCAATCTTATCGTACGTGTCACCGGAATTAATATTGTAATCGAACACGTGGCCGAGGAATTCGCCGTTGATGCAATCGCAGGGGAACGGGACGTTGATTCTGACACCGGCAGGGAGACTGTCTTTGCTGGTTATGTTCTTGTTGTAATTCAAAATGACCTTGAAATCGATATCTGTCGGGTCCAGGAGAGTTGAATGTAGGGTTTGAGCTATGAAGGTGAGGTTTGAGCCTTCCCAAACGTAGTAGGAGGCTAAAGCTCGGTCACAGCCCTTGCTGCATTGTGATTGAACAGTAACGAAAAAGAGTGACGGCAGTAACAAAAGCAGAACCGAACGGAGGTACATCGGAGAGTTGAAACCCTAAAATTCCGGGNTGTAGGGTTTGAGCTATGAAGGTGAGGTTTGAGCCTTCCCAAACGTAGTAGGAGGCTAAAGCTCGGTCACAGCCCTTGCTGCATTGTGATTGAACAGTAACGAAAAAGAGTGACGGCAGTAACAAAAGCAGAACCGAACGGAGGTACATCGGAGAGTTGAAACCCTAAAATTCCGGGCGCCGCAATTGAGATCGGGACGGGGAATAAGTGTTTGTTAAAAATTGAACCGTTGACTGGTATATGTCTGAATTTTTAGGGATTAAAGAATCGGTTACGGGTTTGAGTAAGGCTCTTGTTTAGTCTGTCATTTTTAAAAAACTATTATTCAAAGTTTAATTGTTTGATTGTCTTGTTTTGACAATCAGAAATAAGCATACATCGAATTCCCGCGGTTTTTTGATGAAAGAATCGTTGACTGGACTCTCTCGAGTATAGAAAATGAAGTACGCGCGGACATATTATTGCTTTTAATTTTTTAATCTTAAGCTGTATTATGGGCGAAATGAGACTTGGGCCAATTAATATCCATACTCTATTTCTGAGTGTACTAAATAAAAGATTTTTATAAACTAACCATCTCACATACTACAAATCCTTCAATAAGTAAAAAAAAAATGTTATAATTCTTTTTTATATACCATAAAACTTTTATCTAAACTAAAAAAATTTGCATATTATATCTATTTGTTATTGTGGAGTATCTTGTATCGTTGAATCGAAAACACAATATTAAAAAGAATGTGAATGGTTTAAAATGAATCATCTTGATGCATGAACACAAACTAGTAAAAGCTTTAGATTTTTCGCCATTAAAAGTTGAAGGTGGACCTCGGGCTTGGGTTATTTGGGCCCAAATGGGTATGAAGCGAGTGAGGTTTGAGTTTAGTAACGTTGAGAGTGGTTGTAGCTCCAGCAATTATAATAAAAACAACAAACTAGGCCATCACTTACGTCATCAAGGTTGAATTTGAATTGGTCTAACATCCCAGCTCGCCTGCTAAGTGTTTATTTAATGCTAATATTATAATAATCCTTTGAACACTCTATTTTATATGATTTTTATTAAAAACAATAACTTTTAATTTTTCCAAACTTGAGTTTTTTCGTGTAATCTAAATCTATAATTACCCCATGAATATTAGATGCCATCATGAAAGAAATTTTACGCAAACATTCGAATAAATTTTTTAATAGAGATGCAACAAGTTTTATGATATTCTTTGGCATTTAATAAGTAGAAGTACTATAAATTATAGAGTTGAAGAGTATATATACAAACAAGAGAGGGTGTGGTAACAAGTCCCATGGCCTAACCACCATTGGATGATCGGATAGTAAAAGAGTAAAAAGAGTTTCATGAGTTTTTGAGTTTGAGTCTCTTCAAGCATTAATAGGGGTGGGCATTAGGGCTAAGAGTCGATCGACGGTTTTAAGGCCCTAAGGTAATAGAATTTGAGGTAGGTCTGATTTCTCAACCAATAAGACATTGTTGAATATGATGATTACCCTTTCTTATAAACTAGTAAGCTAATAAGGCCTTATTGAATGAGAGGATTACTCTTTCTTATAAACCAGTAGGCTTGAACATGCCTAGTCGGTGTGAGACTCTAATACTCTGCCTTATAGTCAAACCCATATGTGGGGTCATGTCCAAGGGCGGATTTAGCCCCTTTGAGGGTAGGCCTCATATTTGAAAAAAAAAATTATTAATATAAAGGCCATAAAAAATTGTTAATTAACATATATATCTAGACCCACCTTCAGATTTTTAAAAAATAAGAACTATTATACATACTATATATCTAGGTCTACAAAAAAATTTGTTATATATATATATTCCAAGCCCACATCATATATATATATATATTATACATACTATATATTTAGGTCTACAAAAAAATTTGTTATATATATATATATATATATATATATATTCTCAGCACACATCATATTAAAAGTTTAAAGCTCTTTCCAGTGTTTTTCTACAGAGCTTTACCTGTTTAAAGTACTTGTGGCCAGCCTGATGGTACTCATCTTTCTTGTCACAAGTATTTAGCCTGCAGGTCTTGTGTTCGAGAGGTGGGGAAGGCGAAAGAAACCCACTTGCAGGGGTGGGGATATCCTAGTGAGGGAGGCCCAATGATGACGGGGCGCGTGTGGAAAACCCATGAGGTCGCAGTAGGCCAAGACTGGGATAGCCCATGGTCCAAGATGAGGGGGCTCTCACAATAAAAAGGCGCATTTTTATTGTGACAAGAGAGATGAGTACCATCCGGCTAGCTGGCCTGATGATACTCATCTCTCTTGTCACAAGTATTTAGCCTGCAGGTCTTGTGTTTGAGAGGTGGGGAAGGCGAAAGAAACCCACTTACAGGAGTGGGGATATCTTAGTGAGGAGGGCCCAATGATGACGGGGCGCATGTGGAAAGCCCATGAGGCCGCAGTAGACCAAGATTGGGATAACTCATGGTCCAAGATGAGGGGGCTCTCACAATGCATGTCTAATGCAAAAGTTCTAGGAGACATATTTGATTTTATACAAGCGTCTTGAAATTCAGCATTTCTTTTATTACTACTAGTAATCCAAGCTACACAATCTCTAATTCTATTAATATTTTCTTTAATTGTTTTCATACCACTTTTCACAATTAAATTAATAACATGGCATGCACAACATTGGTGAAAAAACTTCAAATTATTATATAAAGGATAATTACTTTGAAAATAATATATAGCTTTACTATTAGAACTTGCATTATCTAAAGTTAAACTTATCACTTTACTAACAACGTCATAATCTTCTAAAACTTCAACAATTTTATTATAAATTTGTTCACCACTATTATCAACATCCATTAATCTAAATCCTAATAAAGATTTATTTAATTTACATTCATTATCAAAATAATGACTAGTCACACAAATATAATCTTGTTTAGCTCTACCACTCTAAATATCGGCAGTTAGAGCCACACTAACATGACAACTATGTATTTTATTTTTTAATTCTAATATCATTTTTTTAAACAATTTTATTAAATCATTTCTAGTTGCAGTTTTAGAATAATTTTTAAATCCTGGAAAAAATGAATTTTGAACAAATTTTTCAAAATATTTATCTTCAGCCATATTAATAGGTTGATCAGTTGCAGCAATATATAAAACTAATTGTTCCCTATATACATCAGAATTATAACGCCAATTAGTACTCATATTAGTTATTTGAGTTTAATTGTTTTCTCTATTTCCATGTTGATTAATATTTTTATTAGCATGCCTTTTTAAAGTACTAGTACTATTACCTGAATCAGCTTTATAAATATTTCCACAGTATTTGCATTTCGCTTTCTTGACTTGAATGCCATTTTCTGTCTCGTAAAACTTGTCGAAATGTACCCAAACGTCTGATGTGTGTCTGTTTTCGCTTTCGACGGCAGTTGATGATCCCACCTCAGCTTGAGATGAAGTTAGACGAGCACGACGATTACGAGGACGACTTCTAGAACCACTAGGAGTTGTTGGAATTGGGGGCATATTTTGAGGTATATCGGATTCTGAGAATGGGAAAGCGGAACTATTTGAATCTCCTCCTGCATTTATGTTAGTAAAATCAGCGGGACGAGGACTAGGATAGTAGTTTCCGTCATCATTGTAATTGATGGGAGAGAAATATCTATTCATTGTAGTTGAAAAAAAAAATTGATGTAGAAAAAATAAAAATTAAAGAAACAGAATTGGAATATGGTAATTGGAATTTGGAAAATTGGAAATATGAATTAAAAATTGAAAAAACTAATAAAAATTAAAATACGAGCAAATTGATAACAAAGAGATTAAGTAAAAAAATGAATAATTGAGAGATTAGAGATTAGAGAATATGAGAGAATGAGAGAATTTGAGTTGTAAGAAAAATGTGAGAGTTTAGGGCCAATTTATAGGAAAAAATGGGAAAGAAAAATGACGAAAAAGACCCCTCCAACGGCTATATTTGAAGGGTAAAGGGGTCATTTGAAAAATAAAATAAAACTTTTTATTTATTTTTTTCGACCAACCCGCTGGGTTGGCTGTTGCAACCCGGCGGGTTGGCAGGTCTCTTGCAAAAGAGACAAAACCGCAACCTGCCAGGTTGCGGGTTGCCTTTGTGCAACCCGGCCCGCCCGGGGGTTGCTTCCGGGTTTAACCCGTATTTTTATAGGCCGGGTTAGTGTTGACTATTCCACCTTTAGTTATTCTTCATCCTTCACCTACCACTTTCCTACATTTTAAATGTCACCGTTCAGTTGTTCAAAATTATTAAAAAAATTTGAGTTACTTTATATGTTTATACTAAAAAAAATTCTCCTCTTTTATTAATTCATATTAAAAGTCAACGTAATGTTGACTTGATTTAAGTTTTGGTTGACATGAGTTTAATTAGGTTAGGTTTGATCAACGCTATGAAAATTTATATCATAATCTTTGAAACCCAAAAATAAAAATATTAAAAGAAGGTTTTGTTCAAGGTTTACTCAAAATTTTGCTTCTCATAGATTTATTCAAGTAAGAAAATATTATGTTATTGTATATTCTTTTTTCTTTGGTTCTTAATATTGTATTATTTTTTTTATTAAGGTTTGATATTTTTTAAAGTTTTCACTAATTATTTGGCAAATAATGGCGGAGCTGCGGAGGCCCCCCATCAATAAAAATCCTGGATCTGCCACTGATCATGTCTGTTGATGGAGGCAGTTGCTGGTTCTAACTCCACACCCGCTGGTCAAACACTCAGCTCAACTGTCTTTGATGCCATGATAAAATGTAAGGTGGGTCTAACTCCTCACTCAATAAGGTCTTGTTGAATAAGAGGATTATCTTCTCTTATAAATTAGTAGGCTTGAGCGTGTTTAATCGGTATGGGACTCACAAACTGCCCGGATACCCTCAGTGAGAAAAAAAAAAAAAAAAAATCACATGGCCTCACTTAGGTTAGGTTTTATGTGATTAACATTTATGAGTAAAGACATTTGAAGGACATAGCTTCAAATAAGAACATTTTTTTACAAAAACTGGTTTTTAGAATATATTTATGTGTGCATAAAGCCCATTATCTAATATTTTTGTGGGCTAACTTTGTGGACTTATAACACCTAATAATGAATTATTGGATGAAGATACTCTTGTTCAATGTATATACCTATTTATTCTGTCTTAATATTAAAAACTAATGATTAATATTTCGTTTTAAAACATTTGTCATATGAGTTCAAAAAGTTAAAAATAAACATTTTCTTCTATGTAAAACCCCCAAATGAAGAATTTTGCAT